CCCTACCCAGCTGGGGTTGCAGGTTGTTCAGTTGGCACCAGGGCACTAATGTTACCATCCATGCCCATCAGGTCAAGTAAATCGGGCACGGCTGCAGGAGCAGGAGCTGGTTGCCTTCCGGCAGAGGGCTGCACAGCACTTGTGACAGCTGGCGATGAGGCACCACCAGAAGTACCTGCATTGGAAGGTGATTCAGAATTACCTCCTTCACCATCGGGATACTCCTCTTCCTCTGTTTTCTGGACGGTTTTCACACGAGTCACAAATCCTTCGGGTGGCTTGTGGTATACAGATGATAATGTGGCAATGTTGGCAAGAAGCTCGTCCAGGAGAGATGGATCGAGCTGATTCGAGTCATCGCTAATCACGGGCTTTTCGGCTAAAACAACATCCTTTGCTGCCTGAAAAGTTATACAACACCCTTTACATATGTACAGAACCTTTCTCGACTGCTTTACGCTGAAGGACCTGATTTTTCGCCTACATGCAATTCTCGATCCAAAGATACGGAGAATATGACAATTATAAGTCTGATTCCAAGCAAAAGGTACTCTGGACACAAGCTATTTCCGAGTCATGGCCAAATGTGGTTAACTTTAATTAGAGTGGGACCAGACTCTCAGTCTTAAGCTGGGCTCCCATAACATGAACAGTACACTGAGACTATCCCAGGCAAGCATATCAGAAGTATAGGTGTCTAGACAGAAACTTTTATGGAATGATGAAAATGAAATAATGTTGTGACACAACCATGATTCACACAAGACATCGTGACTGTAGTTCACCATTCAATCTCAAACATTCCCTACATCTTGGTGAGGGCCAATGTACATGCATCAGAAAACCCCGCAAATTTTTGACACAGAAATTTCTTGACACCAATAAGTATAAAAAAATAAAATGTCATCAAGCAATAGAACATCAGCTGGAAAAGTGAGAACCATAATAAACTACTAACATACCTCCGGATCAGTTGAAAGGAGCCGCCAATAAATGTATGCACGATCTCTAAGGTCAGGATTATCAGTCTCCACAGTTGCATTATTCAGAACGACCTGAGTCAGAATATGATAATAAGTAAAAGTTCAGAAAATGTAACCGGAACAATGTGTGTGAGAGAGATAGATTAGCAAAAGTTCTGAAAATGTAACCGGAACCATGAGAGAGAGCGGGAGAGAGAGAGAAAGTAAAACCTAGAGCTAACGACCTAATTTAAAGCTGAGCATATAAAATTTAAACCTTACAGAACTAGGCATGCAGAGCATCAATACCATATTCAAATTAATGAAAATCCCGAGCGAATAGCACAGACAAATGAAGATCATTCACAACATAAAGTGAAGTTAAAAGGCATGCCTGGATCATCTGTTGTGGGCCTTCCGTTGGCTTCTTTAGGAAAAGTTTAACTGTTGCTGTTAGCAACTGCAATTGGACCTGTGGAGGTTCTTCTGGAAAAGTTTCTAAAAAACTTTCTAGGAGCTCATCGGCATTATCAATTCTTTCGGCATATTCACCAATTATCCAGATCATTGACGCCTGTAAAGGAGGACACAAAAAAACATTCAAATTGAGCGTGATTGTTACTTGACCAGAAAACAGACAAGAACTTCAATACGGCCCAAGTCCTGCAAAGTACCTTTGCCTCTGGCTCGTCCAAGGTGTCTAAGTTCTCACAAAGTGTAGCAATTATGGACTCATAGCTGAAAAAAATCAAAAGTTTAAAGTTAACAAGGGCAGGAGTTATCAATTAATACCACATCATTATGAAATGAAAAGATAAATGAAGTGACATACGTGTTGGGGTATCTCCTAAATATATCCTTAATCACTATTATAGCTTCTTGCACGACATAGTTTACTTTGATCTTGATCAACTCAAGTAAGACGCTAATGCAACGTTCAGCCGCTCTCTCTAATTTTATGGCACATCGTCCAATAGCACGGACAGCTTTCCTGACAAAGTCCACATCCACTTCCGTAGCGTACTCTTTGAACTCCAATAGAACCTAAACATTCAGATGAAGAGAGCCTTACAGTCAAGCATTAAGAAAATACTAAAAAAATATTAGATAACACAATGCACTCCAAACAAAACCAGCTTACTTGGTCAATATTCCTGTCAGAAGCAAGCTTTATCATAATTTCTAACTTTTCCATCTTCACATAAATCGGATCATTGTATTTGCAGAAAAACACCTTGAGAACATATAGAAGTCATATGTAAGTTCACCGTTGATGGTCAAGCTCAACTTACCACTTCCAGGATGCAATAATGCAAGTACTACCTTGATTTCGTGGGCAAGAATAGTGGGACGCTTTTGCACAATAAGATTTATGTTCCTCAGAGCAACATACTGAATCTCTGGTTCTGCAGAAAGCAATGTCACCAGAGGTGGGGCCATTTTCTTGCATAGGTTTCTAACAACATCAGTGCTGGTAATCAGTTCCATTTGTAAAAGGATCATCTGCAATTGCACGTCAAAAATGGTTCATTTCAATTAATGGTAAGGAGAAAAAAAAAATAATAATAATATTAATCGAATAATGAATGTTGTAAGATTGTCCATTGCAAATGGAGCTGGAAGAGTCATTGTTGACAATTCTCCTGGCATAGTGCTAATAATGGACTAGATCAAAATGACTCAATTAAATTCTAGTGCTTCTTCTATTAGTGAAGTTTCTTGAAAAAAAAGAATATATCAAACGGCACAATGCACCTTGGGTCGCTACGGAAACAGTCTCCTTGTATAGTTACAAGGGTAAGGTCTGCGTACAACTGACCCCCAGACCCCAACTTGTTGGGAATATACTGGGTATGTTGTTGTTGTTGTTGTTGTTGTAATAATGAATGTTGTAAGAGATAGCAAAAGGATGAATACACAAGGGTATGGAAATACGTTCCATTCCAAAAGCCCCATAAGGGGGATCAGGAAAAACTAAATCTAGCTTGTCACTGCTAAACAACTAATTAAAGTCACTGCTGAACAATAAAAGCAAAAGAAAAGGAATAAGTGTGGGAAAAGTAATCAAGAGCTATAGCCTAAAGGAAGTACAGAGCAACGAACCTTGACAGCAGAGAGAACAACAGCACAATTTGCATGCTGTAAACGAGGAGTAACTCGCTCAACTATATTTTCGGCTTCACGAGCATCCGCCGCTTTATACTTGGAAAGAGCATCTAAAATAAAAACCTGACCCCATCTGAAGGAGGTAAAATATCAATTGACATTCATTAATCAACACAAGAAAATTAATTTATTGACATAAACTAAACGCAGCACCAATAATATCAAAAACCATAAGTCTAAAGTGATACTACATAAGCATTTTACAGCCTACTGGGTTTAACAGGTTCCATCAAACTGTAGTGTCCAATAATGAAGGATAATCTGAACACATAAAACTTATCAACCATTCAGTGCCTAATCGCTATCATATAAAAAAATGCACGATGACATTGAGATGGGAATTTATATATGGTGGCAATATTCTCTTTTAAATAAACATGGGGAGATTCAGGCGAAAAAAGCAGAGTGATGAAGGTGATGCATCATATTCACAACTTAGATTTCCATCTAGAGGCGATAAACAAGCTCCCCAATAGGTATGACTAATTTCTCTTACAGCACATAACCATGTATAAATATTAATGGTTTTGAGCATGAATTAATCTTTGAGAAAAAGACCATGAGAGAAATTCAGTATCCTACTCTGTGCATTCATTTAGAGCAGTAAGAAGCTTTGACAGAGTGTGACTAGTTATCTCAAATATGGGCCTGCTGCTACTCTCTTGAATCTCTGCCAGTGCGGCAACAGCATTCGCAACAACCATGGGGTTGTTATCTGATATTAAATCCTTGAGCGCATCCAGGAAACCTCTATCTTCCACTAACTCGGCATTAATGTCATAAAGCTTTGCAACACATATAGCTGCTGTCTTGCGAACATATGGGTCGTCATCCTGATGTAAGAGAAAACAAAAGAAAAAAGGCAATTGGTGTACTACAACTCACAGTTCCGTACTTTTGTGGTCAATGTAAAAACTATATGTTGGCCTCATAATAGTTTCATAAACTACCTTGAGACACCGCTGCAAGGGATCACATAAATACTCTGTGATTTTATCAACTCGAATGCATCCCATTGTCCTCACAGCTAAAGCACGGATCAAAGGATTTGGGTCCTGGGAATCCTGGAAAAATATGTTCACATTAAAATTTTGCCTCTAACTTTTCTTAAGTTCTTCAAAAAGGTGATACTAGTAAAAAACCTGTGCTTCTTACTTTTTGTTGTCTATTGAGGAATATTTGAAGGGCAAAAAAATGAAAAAACTTATGGATTAAAATTGGAAGTAGCATCAACACATAATAAACAATGACAGCTAGTGCAATTTTGACTCTTCGCGACTGAAATTTTCTACCTTTACAAATGTATTTACAGCAAGAATAGCAAGATCTGGCTGGCTCTTTGCATAGTTGATGAGATACAGATACACAAGCTTTTTGAGCTCCAGATTTTCTGTTTGCATGCAATTCACAACATCTGTGAAGAGCGAGGACACATCCTTCCCCACTGTCATTGCTGCTATCACCTTCTTAACAGCATCTTTCCTCTTATCCTGCAACCAGAGCAGTTTAAACCCATTTCAGAAAGAACCAATTGAAGGCTAGCATACACTTCCTATTAAAACTAAGTTACAAAGCTAATTGAATATAATTTTTTGAAGCATAACATACGTAGCTCAACAGCAACAGAAATTAACGGTCGCACCAGGTTTTATCTTTAACAAAAGGAATCGTGCCCTCTTGAACCACACAGATCAGACGCACGATTGAAAACTCCAAACCACAAAATTCACCAATCAAATCGACAACTCAGTAGATCTAACTTCTTCCCAACATTAACACAGAATAAAATATTCGGTACCCAGAAAAATGAAACGCCATCGGCGGGCAGACGCCGCAGATCAAAGCAGATGATATTCTAAATTCATGAATAATACAATCCAAATATGAGAAACTAAGCATCTCGTGATCGGATTAACATGCAATTAGATATGCAGATATACAGTTGGGCAGAGAGGAACCTTGTACTGAGAATTGAGTTCTTCTTTGAGCTCGGGGATTTCACCCTTTTTGGTGGTAGAGAAATATTTGGAGTCGTGGCCGCTCATTTCTTTGCACTGTGAATCAAACCGTGGGAGCTCCTTTTCCGGTGGGCTAGACGGAGAACTGGAGAGAGAGACGAAGAAGAAATTAGATTTGAAGACAGTGGTGGGCTGGATGGACCGCTGCTAATGAACCGGATTCAAAACTTTATTTAATTAAAGATAAAATTGTAATTTTAGTCCCCTTAGTTTGACGTGGTAGCATTTTTAGTCTCAAAATCTGAACGATATGCTATTTAGTCATGTAATTTAAAATTCAATGGAATTTAAGTCCTCTTCTGCTCCTCTTATTTTCATTCTCTTCACGGCATTATTTATGTTTATGTTTAGGGGCATTTTGGTTGGGATGATTGAGCAGGATATCACACTATTTATTATTATATCAAGAATATTAACTTATTTGGTTGAACACTTATCGGCCCTGAAAATTGAGTAAGGCCCGCACCAATATCACTTGAGATGTTATTACCATATCCCACTAAATTTGTGGGATGCTTTATCATTTATCATAAAATCATTAAAACACCCAAAATACCCATATTACTCTTTTCACCATGCCTTCCCTTCTTCTTTTTCTTCTTCGTTCTCCTTATTTACAAAAAAAAAAATAAAAATAAAAATAAAAAATAAAAAATCGTGAAGCAACAGCGTGCCTTCCCTTCTTCTTCTTTTTCAGTCTTTTTCTTCTTCTTCTTTAAAAACAAAAATAAAAATCGTAAAGCGCCCCGAACGGAAAGCAAACATAGTGATGGGGAGTGCAAATGGCGTGCCGTTTGCTTCTGAGTTCAATGGGGTTTTAATTTATGAGTGCAAATGCGTGAACAGGAAGCAGCGGAAGTTTCCTCAATTTTTTTTGTAAATTTCTGAGTGCAATGGTGTCTCTTGCACACCCAATTTCCCCAATTTTTTTCTTTTTGAGAAAAAATCTGAGTGCAATTTGGAAATTGATGAAAAAGATAAAGTTGAGGAAATTTGTTTTGTTTTGGATCTATGAGAGGACAATTAGTTGTCTATATTAATTAATGGTATGTTGGGTTAATTTTATGTTGTAAATGACAGATTGAAATTGAATATGCAAAATTCATGAAGAAAAATGAATTTTGGATTGGGGCAACATGTGAAAATTTAATTGCAAATGAAGGGCACAAATGTAATCTCAACTTAAATGTTCTAATTATCACTACCAACCAAACAAGTTAATAGAGCTCTCCTATCCAAAGGATAACACCTCACTTTTTTTGTGGGAATTAGTCAAGCTCAATCAATAAAAGTAACCAAACTGACCCTTAGTGTACAAGAAGATTAAGGTTCCCGACACGTGATCCACATGCTATAATTTTTTGTTTTTTGGTATTGCCTTATGAAAGAATCGTGTTTTCCATCAAGGTAATCCTCTTCGTGATGTTTGTTCTTGGAGTTGGAGTTTTCCATCAAGGTAATCGTGTTTTCCATCAAGTTGGAGTTTTCAATACTCCACATCATCTAAACTTCATTCTCAGCCCTCATATCACAAACATCCAATAACCATAAACCTCACAAACTTTCTTTTAGTGGGCCCTACATGTTTCTCACTTGTTTTAATTTACATATCAATTTGATTCATATTTACTAAAACATTACTCATAATTTTTTACAATAACATATATATTATATATAATAAATATATTTTACGTACAATTAAAATTTCAATAAAAAAATAATAATAAGTGAAATTTTTTACACATAAACCTTTCAATGATATATAATATAAAAAATTTATTAACTGCTTTTGGATTATTTTTTTTTTTGAAAATCCATATCCAATCATTTTATATATCATAGTATTGTTAGTGTTATATACTGAAAGCTTGGCTTTGCATGTTATTACACATTTACCCTTTATGAATGAGAATCATGTTAGATTAAACAAGTTCTACGTTCTGTTGTTCTGCACTTAGATAGGGTGGGTCGTCATCGGGCGAACCGAAGATCACTCTATCAGTCACTTGCGAACAAGAATAGTTGTTCACAACCTAGATGGACATGAACACCCCATCCGAACGGTTGTAGTGTCAACTGTACAGTTTGTCTTGACTGATTAGTTGCACTAGTACATTTATGTATTGAACAGGATCCCAGAGAGGAGAAGTTCATTTTATACTGATCGTCGTAAATGAACTAGGCCTCGGTTAATTACTGCGTTCTCTTAACCCGTAAGATATTAAACAGGCAGATATATATAATATATATTACTTTGATTCACATGGGTGAGGTTCAGTTCGCTGGATTAATATTCCTACTGTTTTGGGTAATATTATTATATATAGGATGTGCTGTTAGGATATTTACGGTCACCATGTGCGTTAGTTTGATGATGTCCCCGGAGTGAGTTCATGAAGGATTGTTATGCTAAACCCTGCAGGTGGATTAAATTCCGGCATAATAAGAATGTGATGAACGAGCGCTAGCTTCGGTGAAATAATAATAAATTAATTAATTCTTGATTGTCAGTAATCGAATTAATTAATGGACATTATATCTTAAACGTGGGGAGGTAAATCGAGTAATTATTATTGGAGTCTCAAATGTAATTTGGGCTAGGGAAAGGGAGTGCAATAATATAATGTTGGTGGCCCATTAATATTATTTAATTAATTAGAGGAGTGGGTTTGGCCCACAGTTAGTCTAATTAATTAAGGAGCCCTTTTCCTAATCTCCTTAGGGTCCCTACTGTAGCTCTATATATACATCATTAAGCTCATGAGAAGAGAATAGAATTCATTCTCACGTGAAACACGCCTCTCTCTCTAGATCTCATTCGAGCTTTATCTTCTTCTTGTTGCTCCACTGGTACAAGTTGAAGAAGGGTGTATTGAGTAATACAGTAGAAGATCTGTAGGTAAACCGAGACGAAATTGATTTTGACCTACAGAACTAACCGGAAGTCCGATTGAGACGTACAGTATACCCAGACGACCGTCTCGACGAGAGCTTTCCATCGCCGCCGACGTCGCCGGAATCCGACGCCGCACGCGCCCTCACGCGCCGCCGGAAGGTGTCTGGCAGCAAAATTTCGTTTTGATCTGTTTGCATCCGTTTGATCCAGTTTTGATCTGATCTTGTTCGTGCAACCCAAGACGCGTGTTGCGGTCAATCAATTGCGGTCAACCGTTCGTGGTCAACCAGATCTACATAAATTTTAAGCCGTAAGTTCTCTACGTCAAACCTTTAGATCCGCTGCGCATAGGTTTACGTTTGCTATTGAATTCGTGATTTGTACATAACGAGATCCTCACAGATCCCAACAAGTGGTATCAGAGCACTTGGTTAATTCGTTTTGTACAAAGTTCGAATTTTTACGGCTTTATTTGACAAGATGTGTTCAAACGCAGCCATATATTGGATTATATTTGCATAACTCGGTTTTGCAGGAAAATAGTTAATCCACTATTATGGCCGATTATGTGTTTGATGAATGTTGTTGAATGTGATGTATGGTTTTAAATTTGTTTTTAAAGCCTCGGGCATGTCGAGGAATTTATGGATGAATGTTTGTAATAATTATTCGCCCGGGGGTTGACCGGATAGATTTAATTATTTGTTTAGAAAACATGTACATCCATTCGTTGGATCTAGGATCGAATTATGTAATTTTGTAAATTATATTTTTCGTGTTGTGATCGTGTGTTGATAACCGGGAGATCACAAGAGATCAACGAGCCTCGAAGAATAAAAAAAAAAAAAGGGAAACGGCGCGTTTTTCCGACCACTGGCGGCGGCGGCCGGCGGCCGGGCGGCAGCCAGGCGGCAGTCGGCGGTTGGCTGCAGGAGGTGGAGAGGTTTTGCCTTCTTGTCCAAGCAGTACAAGATCAACCAGGATTCTACTGCTTAAAGGAGTTCCAGTTGAACAGGGAAAAGAACTGTCACAGTTTCCTTGTTTAAGGAGACTCAATATTTAATGGCCATAATAGTGGATTTATTTATTTATTTAATTAAATTTATTATGCCATTAAATTATTATTTATGCATGTTAATTAATTATGTTCTTGCATGGGATTAATTTAGTATTGCTAGATTAATTATGCATGTTAATTAATTATGTAATGCATAGAATTAATTTAGAATTGTGTCAATAAATTATGCATGTAATTAATTATTGCACTGGCATGGATTAATTTAGAATTGCATAAATTATTGAACATGTTAATTAATTATTGCATTGACATAGATTAATTTAGAATTGCATGAATTAATATGCATGTTAATTAATTATTGCATTAACATAGATTAATTTGGAATTGTATAAATAGTTAAAAATCCTCATTAAATTATACTAAGTTTGAGAAGGGATTTTAAATTAAAGTTAATTGTAAAATTCCTAAGGCCTCCATTTCTAATTTGTCGGTAAATCAATTAATTGCGGTTATGGGCTCCCCCTCGGGTGACATTGCTAAAATTAATTGTAGGAAATTACCAGGACAAATTTCTAAAAGTAGACGGTTAGAGGAAATCTTATGAGAGCGTACGGGCTTCCCCTCGGATGACGTATAATCAAATTTGACGACCTTAGGACCGAGAAATGGGATTCACTTAGAATGCGATTAAATTTATTAACCCCCCTCGGGGTCCCTGAATTCTATTGCATGGCCAAATGGAGACCGACTATTAATTTCGTTCGTCATGAATTTGGTTTTGACTTATGGAAATTAATGGGCCTTAGAAAAGCCCTTCTCTTACAAAATGCGAGTTTGTAGGGCGACCCTCGTAGCATGCATTCTCACAAGGTGTAATAGATGTCGGTGGATTTAAGTTAATGTTGTTTTGAGGATATCAATATTAACAGTTAAATTCAAAAGTGTTTAATCTGTAAAATTTATTTGCATGATTCTCAGGATATTCATCATGTCGTTCAATCCGTTGTCTGTCATTCTAAAAGAAAATCAGCTTACTGGTCCTAATTACATTGATTGGAAGAGGAACTTAGACATAGTGTTGACTGCTGAGGGTTATAAGTTTGCTATCACTGATGCTTGCCCGGCGGTGCCGGCGGCTGATGCTCCTGAGCAGGAGAAAGAGGAGTATGCTCGGTGGAAGAAGGCTGATGAGATGGCGAAGTGTTACATTCTGGCTTCTATGTCGAATGTTCTTCAACATCAGCATCAGTCTAAGGACACTGCAGCAGA